GTGCTTGTTTCTAGAATATTGAAGGAAAAGGTGCAGAGTTCAGGCATGTTGGATCGTGGTTCCAGTGTGATATTGATGACATTGATAAATTATCCCAAATCGAAGCCTTACTTGGAAAGCAGCATTCAGTTGGCAGTGGAAGTCAGATGATTCAGTTGGCAGTGGAAGGCAGATCATTATAACAACTAGAGATGTACAATTATTATGTGGAGCTGGTGCTGTATATAAGCCCAAGAACTTAAGTGAGCCAGAAGCTCTTAAACTCTTCAACCAGTATGCCTTCAGAACAAACCAACCCACCAGAGATTATGATCAGCTCTCAAGACGTGTCGTCGAATACGCTCAAGGTCTGCCTTTAGCACTGAAAGTCTTGGGAGCTTTTCTTGATAACAAAACTGTACGCGAGTGGGAAGATGTGTTGGAAAAAATAAGGAAGATCCCGCAATGGGAAATTCATAATGTGCTTAAAACAAGCTTCGATGGACTAGATGATTCAGAGAAGGACATCTTTCTAAATATTGCATGTTTCTTGAAAGGAATGGATATAGACAGCGCAAAAAAAAGTCTGGACAGTTGTGGCTTCTATCCCCATACTGGAATAAGAGTTCTAATTGATCGAGCTCTCATATTTGTCCCAGAGAAGAGGAAACTGGAGATGCATGATTTACTAGAGGAAATGGGTCGGGAAATCGTTCGCCAAGAATCTATCAAAGAGCCTGGGAGAAGAAGTAGGTTGTGGAGTTATGAAGATGTTCATCATGTGCTAACTCAAAATACAGTGAGATATCTTTTTCTTATGCAATGTTTGGTAGAAAGCTTCAGCTTTTGACCAAAACCTATTTTATAGTAAACATGCATTGTTTATAATATCCAATAAGGTTCTCAGTGTTTTCTTTCACTTTAAGTTACATTGTTGGTTTATCCAGGCTACAGAAGCAGTTGAAGGCATAATCCTGGATTCTGCAATCTTCGAAGAGGCATGCTCAAATACTGAAGCTTTTGTTAGTATGACAAAACTAAGGCTGCTCATGATCCGTAGTAGTGCTTATATTTACACCATTGACGAATATGATCTTGCATTCGAGGATTCATTTGGCCATCAAAGTCCAAGTGATTGCTTCATAAAACACTGGATTGCAGACTTAAAGTTCCAATCTTCTCAGTTGAGGTGTCTCATCTGGCATGGTTGCCCTCTAGAGTCTTGGCCATCCAACTTTCAGTTCAGAAATCTTTAAAACCTTGACATGAGCAGTAGTTACCTCGAGCAACTTTGGAAAGGAGCTGAGGTACGATTTTTCATTTACGTAAATATATTTATTTTCAATGTTTAGATTCTGAGATGCATGTTTCTTGGACTTTTTAACAGCCTTTGAAAAAGTTGAAATTCATCAATTTAAGTCATTGTAAAAACCTTAAGAAAACCCCCGACTTCACAAGGGCTACAAGTCTTGAGGAACTAAATTTCAAAGGTTGTACAAGGTTATACGAGGTTGACCCATCCATTTCAGTCTGAAAAACCTTGCTATATTGAATCTAGGAGGCTGTGAAGAACTCAAGAGTCTGCCGAGCAGCATTCATATGGGATCTCTTCAAAACCTTAATCTTTCTGGTTGCTTAAACCTTGAGAAGTTTCCAGAGATTTCAGATGTTATGGAGGAGCTATCAAAGCTTTATTTGGATGGGACTGCGATTAAAGAACTGCCTTCGTCAATTAATAAACTCACGGGCCTTACTATGTTGGACCTAAGAGCCTGCCGAGCAGCATTCATATTGGATCTCTTCAAACCCTTAATCTTTCTGGTTGCTCAAACCTTGAGATATTTCCAGAGATTTCAGAAGTAATGGAGGAGCTGTCAAAGCTTTATTTAGATGGGACTGCAATTAAAGAACTGCCTTCGTCAATTAATAAGCTCACGAGCCTTACTACTTTGGACCTAGGAGGCTGTCGAGAACTCAAGAGCCTGCCGAGCAGCATTCATATGGGATCTCTTCAAACCCTTGATCTTTCTGGTTGCTCAAACCTTGAGATGTTTCCAGAGATTTCAGAAGTTATGAAGAATCTGTCAGAGTTTTATTTAGGTGGGACTGCAATTAAAGGGCTGCCTTCATCAATTAATAAACTCACGGGCCTTACTACTTTGGACCTAGGAGGCTGTCGAGAACTTAAGAGCCTGCCGAGCAGCATTCATATGGGATCTCTTCAAACCCTTAATCTTTTTGGTTGCTTAAACCTTCAGATGTTTCCAGAGATTTCAGAAGTTATGGATGAGCTGTCAAAGCTTTATTTAGTTCGGACTGCAATTAAAGAATTGCCTTCGTCAATTAATAAACTCACGGGCCTTACTATTTTGGACCTAAGAACCTGTCGAAAACTCAAGAGCCTGCCGAGCAGCATTCATATGAGATCTCTTCAAACTCTTAATCTTTCTGGTTGCTCAAACCTTGAGATGTTTCCGGAGATTTCAGAAGTTATGGAGAATCTATCAGAGTTGTATTTGCAATGGACTGCCATTAAAGAACTGCCTTTGTCAATTAATAAACTCACGGGCCTTACTATTTTGGACCTAAGAACATGTCGAGAACTCAAGAGCCTGCCGAGAAGCATTCATATGAGATCTCTTCAAACCCTTAATCTTTCTGGTTGCTCAAACCTAGAGATATTTCCAGAGATTTCAGAAGCTATGAATAAGTTGTCAAAGCTTTATTTAGTTCATACTGCAATTAAAGAACTGCCTTCGTCAATTAATAAACTCACAGGCCTTACTATTTTGGACCTAAGAGCATGCCGAAAACTCAAGAGCCTTCCGAGTAGCATTCATATGAGACCTCTTCAAACCCTTAATCTTTCTGGTTGCTCAAACTTTGGGATATTTCCAGAGATTTCAGAAGTTATGAAGAAACTGTCAAAGCTTTATTTAGGTGGGATTGCAATTAAAGAGTTGCCTTCGTCAATTATTAAACTCACGGGCCTTACTACTTTGGACCTAGAAGGCTATCGAGAACTCAAGAGTCTGCCGAGCAGTATTCATATGGGATCTCTTCAAACCCTTAATCTTTCTGGCTGCTCAAACCTTGAGATGTTTCCAGAGATTTTAGAAGTTATGGATGAGCTGTCAAAGCTTTATTTAGTTCAGACTGCAATTAAAGAACTACCTTCATTAATTAATAAACTCACGGGCCTTACTATGTTGGACCTAAGAGCCTGCCGAGAACTCAAGAGCCTGCCGAGCAGCATTCATATGAGATCTCTTCAAACCCTTAATCTTTCTAGTTGCTCAAACCTTGAGATATTTCTAGAGATTTCAGAAGTAATGGAGGAGCTGTCAAAGCTTTATTTAGATGGGACTACAATTAAAGAACTGCCTTCGTCAATTAATAAGCTCACGAGCATTACTACTTTGGACCTAGGAGGCTGTCGAGAACTCAAGAGCCTGCCGAGCAGCATTCATATGGGATCTCTTCGAACCCTTAATCTTTCTGGTTGCTCAAACCTTGAGATGTTTCCAGAGATTTAAGAAGTTATGGATAAGCTGTCAAAGCTTTATTTAGATGGGACTGCAATTAAAGAGTTGCCTTCATCAATTAATAAACTCACGGGCCTTACAATTTTGAACCTAAGATGCTGTTGAGAACTCAAAAGCCTGCCGAGCAGCATTCATATGAGATCTCTTGAAACCCTTAATCTTTCTGGTTGCTCAAACCTTGAAAAGTTTCCAGAGATTTCAGATGTTATGGAGAATCTATCACAGTTATATTAAGATGGGACTTCAATTAGACATCTACCGAGGCTACCTAAGAGATTGCAAAAAACTTTAGATAAGTCTTCCAAGCAACATTTGTGATCTCAAGTCCCTTCAGTATGTTAGTCTTTCTGGTTGCCCAAAATTTGAGGTGTTTCCAAACATTGTAGAAAAGATGGGACTGAGAAAACTTCACTTGCCCGGAACATCTATCAAAAGAATTCCCCCGTCAATTGAATGTCTTCAGGGGCTTGTGTTATTAAATTTGAGAAACTGTAAAAGCCTTGTCAGTCTTCCAGATAGTATCTGTAATTTGGTTTCCCTTACTTTTCTCGCTCTCTCTGGATACTCAAAGATTCAAAACTTGCCAGAGAAGTTGGGAAATTTAGAATCCTTGTGGAACCTTAAAGTAGAGGGAAGTGGTATAAAACAACTCCCACTTTCTTTTTTACGTTTGAACAAGCTTAAAACGTTATCATGTCATGGATGTAAAGAAATGACGGCACCCTTTTGTTGGGGTGTAAAACTTAGAGTACACAACTCTAACACAAGTGTTGGAGAGACAATACAAGTAAACTAATTACTTGTATTACAGAAACAAAATATTACAACGCTCTCAAAGGACATTCTTAGGAAGCCATGACACTCACTCACTTTCTAGAGACAAACTCTAGAGCACTCACACTCTTACAAGACTACTCTTTCTTCTCACTCTCGCTTGCTTGCTTACAAGCTTGCTTGTTGATTTGTTGATACAAATGGTGTGGATGCCTTCTCCTTTTATAGGCATGGATGGAACCTTGGAGAAGCATGGACACACTATGCTAGAGATATCTAGATAATTCCACTAACTTCCTAAGCTAGAATTATCTACACTAATCTTGCATGTTGGTGGAAACCTCACCATTCTTCTAGACTCTTCCACCAACTTAAGAAACAACATTCTAGTCATTTCTACAAAGTACTACTTTAACTTGGATAATTTAGCTAACCAACCTTAGTGAATGTTCTAGAATTCTTTATTCTAGATTTGTGTAGGTCCTTTAATGAGATGGGGTTGATTGCTTTAACACCTTTTTATCATGGTCAAAATCAGTGGAAGATTATAGTTACCGTGGTTGGTACACCTTGATTTAAGTGACTGCAATCTGTTGGAATTGTCGGGTATTGCTCATTTATCATCATTGAAAACATTAGACCTGTGCAGAAACAATTTTGAGAGCTTGCCTGCAGAAATGAATCGGCTTCCTCGTTTAACAGATCTCAAATTGGAAGGTTGCAAGAGAATGAAATCAATAACAGAGCTTTCATCAAGCATAAATTTCATAGACGCCCATGATTGCACAACTTTGGAAACTGTTTCAGGACCAAAGCTTCCTTACAGTAATCTTTACTTCACATTTTCAAACTGCTTCCAGCTGGTGCAAAATCTATTTGAAGAAATTGTAGAAGCTCATCAGCTCTCTCTCTCTCTCTCTCTCCCTCCCTCCCTCCCTCCCTCTCCCTCTCTCTCCCTCTCCACGTGCGAAAGTACGAAACATATCTAATGCAAGTTCAGTCTACTTTGTTTTCGTTCTGTAGGGTTATCTGCAAACTGTTTCCTTGTTTCGTTCTGTAGGGTTAGGAATATAATAGAACCTATATGTAATTAAAGGTTTTACTTTACTTAGCTGTTAAGCTAATTGTACCTATTTATATGATACTGTATTCTTTCAGACAGTAAGATGAATTCATTCAATCAATACACTTCTCTTTCTAGAATCCTCTCTCTCTCTCTCTACCTTTATCTTTTCTCTCACAGAATCATAAGTTTCTACAGGTTCAGCCATCAGTGTAGTGGATCTTCAGTAACTGTGCATCTACCACCGGTGTCGGATCATAAGATTTTGGGATTTGCTGTATGCGGTTTTACTAAGTTCAAGTACGCGCATTATGTGTCTGATCTATCTGCCCTGTGTTTTTGTACCTCCAAAGGAGAGCACGGCGAGCTCAGTTTCAGATTTGATTTGCTTGATTGGAGTCACAAGCGACAGGTTACTTGAGTAAGATCACATGTTCATGGGATATCTTCCATTGAAAATAGGAGTGCAGCTAAGTGAGCGCTATACCACCGAGGCCACATTTAGAGTTGAACTAAAAGATGGAGTCCAATCACGTGATTCTTGGGCACCAGTGCAGCAGCATCGCATCAGAAGGTGTGGAGTTCGTCTCTTTTATGCCAATCATGAGGAGGTGCATAACAAAAGCATGACACAGCCCGACTTTCGTCATGAAAATTCTGGAGCGGAACTTCGTGCTTTACGCAGATCACTGGTAAGAGTTGCTCATTCTAAGAGGAACCGTGAGGGGTGTTGCTATAATGAGGCTGAACAAAGTGGGGGTTTCAACTGATGAAGAGGATTTACATTGTAAAAGATTGGTACTTCCTGATGGGGCAAAGGAAAACTGAAGAGAATAACTCCTGTGTGTTGGATTTGATGGCTTAGTTCTGTTGGGTCTCGACCCTTTCTTACGCGGACCTAAAACCAAACTGTTGTGGCTCTTTAGTTGGCATATGCGGATCACATGCTAAGTCTTTTTAGTGCTCGTATATAAAGCCTCACATTGTGCAATTTGGATGAGAGGGTGGGAACCGAAGCAGCTGCACCAGTGTGACGGAAAGAGGAGCCGAAACCCAATAGAAGAGAGAAATAATTGGGAGCTGCTGCATTTAAGGTTTTGTAAGAGTGAATCCAATTAGAGATTGTTGTAGTTGCAGAGAGACAAATATTTTGTTTCTAATTCGTTTTTTTCCCTCTTCTATTTGTGTTTGTATTTGGGTGTATTTTGGGTTTGAGTTTGAGAGCTTTCTTTGTAATCTCGTTTTGTTTATTAGTGGAACTTCCTCGCTGTTCCCAAACTGGATGTAGGTTTACGCCGAACCAGTATAAATCTTTATGTCATTTTGAATTGTTTGTTTTGTTATATTTCTCCATGTTAGTTTATTGGTTTCAAACTAGCGCTTCCGCACAACACTCTGAACCCTAGTGAAGGTGGAGAGGAGCTTGTTGTATTTGGAAGTGCCAATTCAGATAATTTGAGTTGTCCAATTTGACATTGACAGAGGTGGAGAGGAGCTTCTTGTAATGTTAATTCAACATTAGAACAAGAGAAATAGCTCCATGTGCTGAAATTGAAGAATTCAGTTGCAAACAACACATTTATGTTGCTCATCAGAACAAGATTAATTAGAATAATTAAGTTTTTAATTGCCCAATTATTCCGTCCCATACGAATTTAGAATATGGAGGACGTGTTTCTGCATTGTTTTCAAATGTCCTAAGCACTTTGTAGAGCTGTAGTAACTTTGCAACCACAAGACATCAATACCAACTACCAAGTACCCTTAATTACTCTTCCAGATGTCTCATATACTCTTCGTGTTGACATGAACGAGAGATTTTTTTAGTGTGTTTGGCACACGGCTCAATACATCAAGTTTTATAATATAATTTGTTGAAAACTTCAATTTTTTTTTAATGAATTGTATCATGACTCTTGATGTTCAAGTAGTGTACCGACCACACGAAAAAATTTCTCAACATGAGCACAACCCAAAGGCACCGCTGTTAATTATTCATAAGAATACAAAGGTTATATGAAAGAAAAAGGTTAGACTTCTCATTTTACATTCAACTTAAATGAATTGCACACAAGTTATTTTATTATGCAATTATGTAAAGCGTGCTAAAGTGTGCGTCACTTAAAGATTAGGTGGGTTGGATGGAGACACAAACTCTTATTAACCATGTTAAATGGGTCAACACGATTATGCCCGACTCAAACAAATTTATTTTTTGTCTTTTCCAAGTTGGATTGTTGAATCTGTCTAAAATTGTTACCTCTACTCTTTCTTGGCACTTTCTACCTAAATTTGAGCAAAAACAATGAAAGGTACGTCCGAACAAAAATACAATAAAAGGTACATAATTCAATAACTTTCATATTTTTAATAGAAAAACACGCATGCAAGTAGCTTTTATTATAGTGGAAGAGAAAAATGTTGCTCTTACACTACGGAGTAGATTCAAACTTTGTTGGCTCTTTAGAGTCATTTTCAATGAAGAGGGCTAAAGGTTCAAAAGCTATAAAATGGTTTGAATTGTTCAAAAATCTAACCGATGGTTGGACCATAACCTATTGAGCCCACCAGACCACTTTTTGGCTAAATGAGCATCAAGATGACCAAATATAGCCTTTTTTGGGACCCCATCTTCTCACTTGAAATAATTGATTCAAATTCAACGGCTAATTTGAAAACATCAAACGGTAGTTTAGTTAAATTAACAAATAAATTTAAAGTATAAACTTAAAACTAATAAAATATTGAGCGGGCTATGTTTAGCCTTGGAGATTGTAGATGAGTATGATCTGATACCATTTATTTAAAAATAATATTTTACAAGGCTATAATTCTAAAAGTTGCTATGACCATTTTTAATTAGATATGGTCTAATTTAACATATAATCTAACAAATCTATCATTTAAAAAAAATAAACAAAATAAAAAAATGCGCATTATTCTCATCATCGACTCATTGACTTTCTTAGGCTACATTTTTTTCTCCTGCAATGGATTTTTATTTCGGGGGGTTGGTGTGGAAGGATAAGAGTGCACAGGGTGAGAAGCCCTATTGTTGTAGTGTCGCTGCCACCACTCAAACCCAAACCCTATTTGGACGAAAGGTTGAGAACCGAAGCAGCTGCACTAGTGTGGCGGAAAGAGGAGCCGAAACCCAATAGAAGAGAGAAATAATTGGGAGCTGCTTTTCCCTCTTCTTTTTGTGAGTGTATTTGGGTGTATTTTGGGTTTGAGTTTGACATCATTCTTTGTAATCTTGTTTTGTTTATCAGTGGAACTTCCTCGCTGTTCTCGAACTGGATGTAGGCTTACCAGAATCAGTATAAATCTGTGTCATTTTGAATTGGTTGTTTTGTCATATATTTCCGTATTATTTTATTGGTTTCAAATTAGCGCTTCCGCACAACTCTGAACCCCAATAAAAGTGGAGAGAAGCTTGTTGTATTTGGAAGTGCCAATTCAGATAATTTGAGTCATCTAATTTGACATTGACAGAGGTTGAGAGGAGCTTGTTGTAATGTTAATTCAACTCGATGTGCTGAAATTGAAGAATTCAGTTGCAAGCAAATTTATGTTGCCCATCAGAAGTAAATAGAATAATTAAGTTTTTAATTGCCCAATTCCGTTCCCATATGAATTTAGAATAGGGTTTTTTTATTAGCACCCCACATTATGTTGAATACACCACATTTTAAAATTTAATATTTAATAAGTTATATACCTTAATGTGAATGTCAATTTCGACCTCATAAAGTTTTAAAAATAAAATTAAAAAAACTCTAAATACACCCAAAATCACTTTTAACATGTATATCCTAAGATTAATTATCTTCTTCAACTCTCAAAACCACTATTACCTTCCTCCGTTAGATGTAACAATTTACCGTGTTAAATTGCTGTCTCAAGTTTGGCAATGAGACATGCTAGCTTATTCGCCAAAAACCTGTAACTTTGTCACAAGAATCATATATAATAAAAAATAAAAAAAATCGTTCTTATTAGACTTGTACAAATAGCATACAATTGTCAATTTGCAGATTTTTAAGATTAGTTTGGGCTTACTTTCTGTCAGACCCTTTAAATACCTCGGAAACAACAATCTTTTATATATGCTTTATTCCCTTATTTTATTAGTGGTTTTAATAAATAAAAAAATTGGGTAAACATGGTTTCACAGTAACTAATTTCTAATGGTAGGGGAGGAAACTAATATTAATGTTTTATTTCTTCTGATGTGGTTAGAATTTTGTAAAGCAAGGGAGGGAAGTAGCAAATTTTAAAAGGTTTAGACAATCTCATGCGAAATATTATACTAGTTTTCAGTAGTTTTTTGCCGAAATTTTTCATGGTTTTTTCATCATCAAAGAGTAAGCTAGCTTCTGGAAAAGTATGAAGCAATTCAAAAATAGAATTCATGAAGTTAATGCAGGATCATTATGGTCTGCATTTCTAGATCCCTGTTTGTTACAAAGTGATGGATTGTAAAATATTTTTTTCCGTTAATGGTGGATTCTCAAATCTATATGCTTATTTTTTTAAAGCAACGAGAAATAACATAGAAACCACCTATTCGAAGAAACAAGTAAGATTTTTGGTTGATATCATGTATTTGCACTTAAGATGCGAAGAGTGTGGGGTGTATGTAGAAAATGTGGGGTTTATGTAGGGAATTTACGGTGTATGTTGAAAGTTGGGGTGTGAGGGTATTGTGAGAAAGTATGTGGAGTGTATTAAGATATATTTTAATTAAAAAAGCAAATGTGGGGTATATTAAGTATGTGAGGTACATTTAAGAGCAACTCCACCTCAATCCACTTTGCGCCAGCACCCAGCCCATTTATCCACTTAATTGAACAGTAACAGACTCAATGAACAGTAATAGGCCAAAGCATCTCCACCCCAAAAAAAATGTGCTGGCACCTAGTCTAAAAATGCGCTGGCACAAACGATCTCCACCCCTACAAAATGCGCTGGCACCCAGTCCATTTAAAATATTAAATAATTTTTTTATAAAATAATAAAAAAAAATAGTTTTAATTTCGGATAGGATTTTTATTCAAATGTAGAAAGTGTAGAAAATATTGAAATGTGGTGTAAGGTGGAAGATGAGGGTTAGGTATTTATAGAAAAAAAAATTAATTTTTTACAATTTTTCTGTATTTTTTAAAAAAATTTTGACATTTTTTAATTAATTTTTAATAAATTTTAATGTTGTAATTAATCTGGACCGTTGATCTTTGATCGGACGGTCCAATTTAAAATTTAAATTTAAATTTTTTTTACCGTTGGAAATCCAACGGCCTACAAAAACTAGCCGTTGGAAATCCAACGGCTCTGAGGAGGGCCACGTAGCCCTCACCCGGATGACTGCAAGTTGCCCTGCACGCGGGCCCCACCGCCTGCGACACTGTCGGCTACTCGCGCCCAGTCGCGAGTGTCATGCACGCGCCAGCCATTTGGACCGGCTTCTGGGTCTGTCCGAAATGGGCTGGCCTGCTGCCTGGCTTGGGCTGGGTGCCGGGCTGTGTTGCGGGCTGGAGCAAATGGACTGGGTGCCTGGCTGTTATTTGGACTTGGTGCTGGGCAAAAAAAGCTCCGGTGGAGCTGCTCT